TGCTGGAGGAGCTTTAAGGTCCTTTCCAACCCAAACCAGTCTGGGGTTCTGTGATTCTATGACCAGGGGCAAGGAGGAACCCCCCAGGGTCCTATCCCTGCTGTGAAATAGCTGCTGGGAATCCCCCCATGGATGCGAAAGTTCCCATCCCAGACATACGGCCCCACAAACTGCTCAGCACAGATTTAAACCACCAGTTTAAACCATGGTAACTGCTGGTTTATTCTCCCCCAGCTCTTAAAGGTGGCTATTAATTCATAATGAACTGCTTAAGTCCAGGCTGTTACCTGGATAAAGCCTCTTCTCCCGGGAGCTGGAGCATCTTTACTTGCTTTTTCATTATCTAACTTCTGTATATTTCTCTTTTCCTTTAATGAGAACAGGCAAACGAGGCCAGTGCTTCAGATCTCTGTGTGAAAACTGGCCTGGCTCCAGATTATTATAAACCAGCTCTTCATCCATTTTTAATGAACCTCTGGGGCTCAGGCTTGGATGTTTTCATTCCAAGCATGTCTGCAGCAAGACAAATCTCTCCTCTCTAGATGCACACCACAGGCCACAGTGACTAAGCACTCAGGAGGAGCTGGGCACGCACATTATGCACTGATTTTAACAGGCTTTTGGAGGAGGAAATGTAATAAAAGAGTTCTTTCTTATGCATTGGCAGAGGATGAACATCATCAGGCTGAAATAGCTGCTGGGGTAGTTCTATGGCGCGACGCGGGGCGGGTATCACCAGGGCAGGCTTGAATTAAGGAAGGGGGGGGATAAGTGTTGTGTGTGGAGAGGTCACAAAGAGAAAGGGGAAAAGCTGGAGGATGAAGGATGGGGCAAAGGGTTTCATGGATCAATGAGTTTTTCACTTCCCGAGCCAGGAAGTGGATGAGCATCCCGGAGCTGGAAGGATTGTCTGGTTCGTCTCGGTTTGCAGGGTGTATTTCCATCAAAATATCACCCCCTCCCCCCCAAAAAATACTTAAAAAAAGCCAGGAACACTTGAAAAATGCCCTGATTTGGTGGGAAAAATGCATAAAGCCGTCTTTCCCAGTGGGAATTGCCAGTGAGATGCCTTGTGCTGCCTTGTGCTCCAAACAAGGGGTTAACGAAGCGCTGTCTGATGGGCTCTTCCCCCTCCATAAGGAGGAGAAACCAGGGAGGGGGAAACACTTTGCAGCAGTGTTGACTTCCCCATGGCAACGGCACTTCCCAACAGCCCTATTCTTCTTCCCTAAAAGCAGAGCCTCCGGGAAGGGGAAGTGCCGACATCCTTTTCCCAATGATCCCACGAGGCTCTTAGCTCCATCCCCCTATTTCTGTCCAAGCTCCTCTTCAGCACATCCCTTCCCTGAGCAAAATCCCTTTGGGAGGGTTTCGGCCCATTGGGGCAATGGCTTAAACGAACCAGGGGGAGGATGGGACATGGTTGCTGGAGACAATAAATGCCTGGTTTATGTTTTCTCCAATGAAACTGGAGCATAAAGCAGCTGCTCCCAACTCCCAGCCAAATCCATCCGGATCCATGCCCGGCTCACCTGCGCCGCTCCGGGGAGCATCTGTGTTTGGCACAGCCTCTGCATCCGTGACCTGGATGTCTGGCAAGGTGCTGGGCTTCAGCACGGACCTGGCAGTGGATAATGATGGGTGCTCCGTTAGCAAAGAGCTGCAGCAGGAATGAGAACAGGGGTGATTTCCCTTTTAAGCCCCCACGCGGCTGTTTCCAGCATGGAAGCAGCCTGTTCTCCCTTGGATTTGGCTGATAACCATCCCTGCAGGGTTGAAGCACAGGGTAGTTGCAATATAAGTCCCAAATCCCACTCTGTTCCGCTCCCAAAAAGCCCTTTGAAGGCTCTTATCCCAGCTGCCCTTCCCAAGAAGGGATGCTGAAGCCCAAACCTGCCTTTTAGCAAGCTCCAACACCCAACCTGCACAAGCAAAGCTGAACCTACCCCTTTTCCCCTCTTTTTTCCTTAATTCCATGGTTCTCTCCCCACGCTCACCCATGGGCTCCCAGGTTGCAGCCCGAGTGCCAGGAGGAGGAGGATGGCGGAGGGCGGATGCGCTGGTTGTCATCCTGCATCTGCAGGCGGATGGGTCGCCGCAAGCCCCAGGAGATGTTCAGCAGCCCCTCCACGATGAGTTCACCTTCCTCCTGCATGAGAGACGGGCAGCTCAGGCTCCGAGACACAAACAGTGAGAAACAGGACCAAGAAACGATGGGTTTAGTGTGAATCAAACCCAATTTCATGGGTTTTCACTGCTGGGTCCCTGCCCCGGGGGGGGTTCTTACCTCCCGGTGCCGCAGCTGCAAGTTTTGCCCTTCATAGTAGATGTTGTACGTCTTCAAGTGTAAAAGCAGCTCATTTCTGAGAGGAAAAATGGGAAAGATGCTCAGAAGAGGGGTGGAGGAGCAGGGGGGGACATTGCAGGCACCGCGCGGTACCCCTGGGCTGGCCGGGGGGGACTGTGGGAACGTGGGAGAAAGCAGGAATTGCTTCCAGGGTCAGGCTGGCTGATGAATGTGCATCACTGCTGGGGGACCTGAACCAGCTTCATTTGAGGCAGATTTGGGTCTTTCGCTGCCTTTAGACATGCCTTTTTGGGGGTATCCACTGTAGGCTCAACCCTTTGAGGGACAAGCTCCCTGCAATCATAACCCTTGTGAAAAGACACAACAAAACCTGTCAGACCTCAGGGGATTTGGTCACAAGGCTGGAAAAAGCAGTGTATTTTCGGAGCACCCAAGCCCTTGGGTCATGCTGGAGTCACAAGTTACCACAGGCGACTTCACCACATCAGTCCTCACTCCAGAGCCTGACCTTGAGCTCAGATTAAGCCTGAGCCCTGCTCCAGTTGCAGATGAATAATGAACAGTAAAAACAATCATTCAAAGTCAGCCATTCCCAGTGCTGAATCCCGGGAAGCGATGCCCCTGGCATTCCGTCACAAAGCTGACCTTAACTCAGCTGGGGGGCTGATGGAGTTGGAGGATGCTCAGCACCAGCAGATCAGTTTAATAAGCACAAAGCACAGGGATTCAGGGTTTGGAGGAAGATAAAAGAGGGGGGAAATAGCACAAAGCTGCTTTATCTCCCTAAAAATCCTCCTTGGAATTTAGGAAGCATTTTACTTCTTTACCTAAGCACAAAAGAGCTATTCCTACTGGGGACTTCTTCAGCAAAACCTCTATTTCATAAACTCTCTAAAGTGTTTCACGGTTTATAGAAGCATTTGGCCACGCTCCTAAGAAAAAACATCTCAAAATCCCATCAACAACCCCATTTTTTAAAGGAAATTGCCATTTCTTGCCCCAAAATGGCTTTTTCCATCCAAATCCAACCAAATCGAGTTAAATCCCAGGGTCACTCCACTCCTCCCAGCTCAAACCCGCCTCGGAATATTGCAGTGAACTCCCCATCTACCAGCACTGACGGTGTTCCCGTGTCCCAGCCCTGCCAAGCATCTTACTTGGAGATGTATTTGTCTTTCCCGCAGGGAACTGGGTACTCGCCGCCGCCGTAATCCATCCTCCTGCTCTTCTTTCATGGGAGCTGAATTGCAAAGAGGGAGGAGAGAAAAGCACCGGCGTGAACCGCCCCGATAGCGCATCCCTGGTGCGCGCCCATGGAGATGGGGGCAAAGGAATCAAGTGCCTTGGATGTGGGATTGCTCTTGGGAAAAAGGCTCCGGCGGATGCAGCCGCGGGGGAAGTTTGATGTGGCTCCTGTGGGAAAACTGATGGGAATGAGGGAGGGGAAATCAGATAAGGGGAGAGGTGGTGCAAACTCACTGAATATTTAATCCCAGCGGGGATACACTTACGCTGACATTTGCATTTGGAGCATCCACAGACTGTCCCGGCAATGCCAGACCTGGAAGTGGGAGGGTTACCAGCAGGATTTGTCCCTTTTCCGCCTTTATTTTAACTAAGGTTCTGCTACAAAGCTGGATCCGACTGGATTCCTCCTTGTGCCACCCCCAAACCAGGCAGCAGGCTCAAGGGCTGGGTCCTTTACCTTGGTTTTAACAATGCTGTTCCCTCCAGTGCCAAATGTTCCTATTTCTCTTCTACAAACACTCGGAACCCCCCTCCCAAAATCCCACCTTGGGAAAAGCCCCGGGTTAGAGCATGAGGGTGATTGTTGTGCAACAAAGTGGGATTAAAATGAGATTTCATGTGAAACCCTCAGGGTCTATCGGGAGCTTGGAGCACTTTGGGAATAAGGCACTGGAGAGACCTGGAAGTGCAACATGAGGGTGGTTCTGAGCGATGGGAAAGGGCATCTCAGGTCATGCTTTTCCTTGGGTGTTTGTGGAACTCCTACAGACAGGCTTTCATCTTCCCAGGGTCTCTTCCCTCATCCCCAAAAGAGAAACCAAGGCAAGAGAAGAGCATTTGATCTGCAGAACATTGTTTTCTTCCACCTCCCTCTTCACCACGTGCTTCCTCCCCATCCCCTCGGAAACAAGCCTGTTTTCCTGCAAACCCAATCCCACAATGACATCCAGGCGGATAAATGACTCAACCAAACCTGTGTTGGAGGAGGGACCTTCCCCATAACCTCAGCACAGCAGCGACTCCTGCTTCTTACCCCGCGCTTTGGGATGGATCCCAGCACATAAATCCTATGCAACAGCAGAACTATTGTGTTACACCATGGAGGAGGTTGCAAAAGCAAAGCTGGTGTCTCAGCGGGCAGAAAGAGGCAGGGGAAGGGCAGGAAATGGGCCCAGCCCCGCGGCTCCAGCTCTGCCTGGGGAAAGCAGAAGAGAAACCCGGAGCCTAAATAAACTCACACTTTGCGGCGGAAAAGCTGACAAAGCTTTGGGTTTCCTGAGGAGCCGTGTGAGCATCCCACAGGGCAAAGCGGCACCAACCTCCTCCTGCGGCCGCATCATCCATCCATGGAATCATAGAAACAACCGGGTTGGAAAAGAGCTTTAAGCTCATCAAGTCCAACCGTTTCCAGCACTGCCAAGGCCACCACTAACCCACTGAGGCCTCGGCTCCACGGGCTGTGAACACTTGCAGGGACGGTGACTCCAGCCCTGCCCTGGGCATCTTGTGCCAACGCGTGAGCACCTTCTGGGCAAGGAATTGTTCCTCAGCTCCAGCTAAACCTGCCCTGAGGCAGCTTGAGGCCGTTTCCTCTTGTCCCATCCCTTGTTCCTTGGGAGCAGAGACCAGCCCCCTCCTGGCTCCATCCTCCTGTCAGGCAGTTGCAGAGAGCGATCAGGTCCCCCCTGAGCCTTCTCTTCTCCACACTAAACCCCCCAGGTCCCTCAGCCCTTCCCCATCACACTTGTGCTCCAGGCCCTGCACCAGCTCCGATGCCCTTCTCTGGCCCCCTCCAGCACCTCAATGTCTCTCTTGCAGTGAGGGGCAGGGAATAAACCCAGTAATAATCATCAGAAATTATATCAGGAGGGGATGTGCTGCCAGTTTTGGGCTGGATGTTGCAGGGACCTGAATTTGGGCGTTACCAGATGTGAGATACAGGAACGGTAGAAATAAGCATCTCGCTTGTGGATGCCCCTGAAAGCGGATGAAGCAGCTTTGGGGAAGTCACCGCTGCGGCCCCGCTGCACAGAGGGAGGGTGAAATGACACATGAACCGCCTGGCTCATGCAAAATGGGGCCAAAAATACCAAAGTGGATGAAAACCGACCCCCTCCAGCAGCACATCCCTGGGGGGAGCCTTTGGTACCACCGTGGCGATACAAAGGAGTGAAGCCAAAGCCCTGGTTCTCTCTAAGAGGATGTTGGGGTGAATCCAGCTGGGAAAACACACTCACGTTGGGCTGAAGGGGAGCCCCAAAACACAGGTTCATCCCCCAGTGTTGAGGAGCCCGGTTTCCTGTTTACCACCACCTTCACTCCGACATCACATCCCCTTCTGAGCAGCCAGAAAGAAGCAAATTCTTCCTTATTTGGGTTCTGAGAGCACCAGGCTGGGGGTGGAAGGGGTTGGGGATCCCCACACAGAGCCCAGCCACCGCCGTGCCCCTGATGTGCTGCCGTGGTTTGCCAAAAGGCTGGAAATGGCCCAATAAAAGGGCTGGAGACACGTGAACTGCCCAACCTGTT